ATATATATACAGTGTATATAACTTCAGACCTTGTCCAGAATTAAACTTCAAGCTGGATAGAGCTCGCACTGGAGCACCTTGTAATCGTTTGTAGTCATCATTTACCCAGAATGCTTTGTGGCATAAATAATGATAATATCCATGTGACAACATATTTACTTTTTTTAAACTAAACAGCCTACAGTATACTTACAGTCTTGATCTTATAGTTTAAGTTAATGTTTTTCAAATAAACTTTAATGTTTGAACTAGTCGCAGTTCCCATTAAAACTGCCATCAACTCTTGCAGTCCTTGTTGTCTGTTAGCAAACTATTTCCTAAACCACTGAATGCATTTCAATGAAATGTTCAGTGTAGTCACTGAATATACATTTGCAACAAATTCACTTTTGGAGTCAACCCATGTGGCTGACTTTTAGAAACACAAAATGTGCTAGAGTTCAGTCTGTTTTTGCAGATATTGAGCTATGACTTGGTGTGGTAGTAGCTGAGAGTCATCCCTAACACGTACTCTGAACACATCTTGCACCTTTGAGATCTCCTGTCAGTTCTCAACATAACATTAGACAAACTCTGCTATGAAAAGATGCAGGAGTTTCTTCAAGCTATGCTAGGATCAATTAGCCTTTTAATTAAAGTTGCACCATTTTTTTATCCTTGTGTGTTAGATGTGTGTACTGATTACCAGATGTTTACCAAATAATCAATGTTTCCATAAAAACTTACAATTTGATGTTAGCAGTGTTTTCAGTGCTAAAATGTATTAAGATGCAGATTTTTTTTCTTCTCAGTGGTTGGTTGGCTACCATCACCTTCTTCAGCACCAACATCGGATCAGCCGTAGTGATGCTGATCCCCACCATCATGTTCACTGCGGTGGCTGTGCTCTCCTTCGTCGCCCTGTCAAAGGTGACTGTTTAGTCTCTGCTTTGATAAAGCTGAGGAGCAGAAGATGTGGTCCTTGTTATATTGTTCACATTAACACCTATTAAACATTGCATCTTTTTGAACGAACAGTGATTTTTATGTGCTGTAATTTTGCAGGTTCATAACTTCTATCGTGGCAGCGGCGGCAGCCTGGGTAAGGCCCAGGAGGAGTGGGCCACGGGGGCCTGGAAGAACCCACACGTCCAGCAGGCAGCTCAGCAGGCGGCGATGGGGGCCGCGCAGGGAGCCATGCAGCAGAACCAGTACTCGGCAGCTCCCACCTACAACTACGACGACCCTATGTAGGACAGACGAGGGGCGGCGGGGGGAGGGGGTCCGACAGCAGAGAGCTAAAAAGGGATCAATTAACAAACACGACTCAGAATTAGGTGCCCTTCATTTTAACACAGATGAATTTCAAACAGAAGAAGAGAGCTGGAAATGTCCTTTAATCAGATAAACGCCTAGGGTTGAAAAACTTCACACTTCAGTCATAAAACAAACTCTTGTTTTGCTGCCCTGTGTGTGTTTATAGTTATTATTTATATTCTGTGACAAACTAATTTCCTGAGCCTCAGTTTCTTCAGGTTTGTTCGTGCTTTCATCAAGCAGCACTTTGTTTGATGTGGTCAGCTTTAACAGCTACATGGCTAAACGTGTGCAGTCTTTTTGTAGCTTTGAAGCTAACAAAATGTGTAAATGTGTCAGTTTTTAATCAACATTCAGCAAGCAGGTTACACATGAAAAACACCAAGATAAACCTTTAAGAAAAACCTCCCTCTCTAGTAGTTTGGATTTCTCATAATTCTTTTATTCACCTATTTTTTTTTTGGCAAAAATCAAACGCTTCCAGTAGCAGCTGGTTATGTTATAAACTTGCTTAGCTTAGCTTAGCTTAGCATAAAGAAGATATAAATCTTGGTTTTATTCACAAACAACATAAACACACAGCAGTCCTCATTCTGTGACAAACATCTTGTTTCTTCACATTTCTTTTTGTTAAATAAGTACTTTCTTCTGTTTCAAGTGCTAAGCTAAGCTGCTAGCGGTAGCTTTATTTATCCTACAGTTGCGAGAAACCATGGGACTTTGACCACTAAGAGAACAATTAAAGCTTGAGACATGTTTTATTACTATACATTTATCATCATTTGTAAAGAAAAAGCAGCTTTTGTTTGGTGACCTGTCCGTTTGTTTTGTGTTCTTTATATTCTCAGGAAAGAGTTGTCTTTTTAGCCCAATAAGGCGTCAAGTTATTGGGTTTTTGTCTCTTACTTTTCGTTGCTCATATATTAAACTATTAAGGATTTAGTTTTTGTCTTTATATATATTTATTGGTTATAGGGTGAGCTGAGATTTCCGTTTGAGGAATTTTTACAATGTTTTAGGTGAAGCACAGGCAGTGTTTAGGGTCAAATTCATTGGACAAACATTCCAAATCAATGCTGTAAAGGTGAAAATAAAATAAATAAACAGCTGCAGGCTTGATAAACAGTAAATAATCTTAATATTTGTTGTAGGTGGTTACAGTTTTGTATGAAGTGATGGTTGTTTCCCTTCCCCTCCTCCATGTGGTCGCTTCAGCGACCACTCGTTTCTAACGTTCAGGCCTTACAGTCGTGTGTCATTTTGTGGCTGTTGGTGTTTTTCTCCATGAATCAGTGTAACGTTAAAGAAAATAGAATATTAAATTGAAGCCAACTATATTATTTACAGAGCAAACTAGAACGAGAGGACACATTATGTGCAGCCCCGATGAGGCTTCAAGAGTTATTAGAGTTTTTTGAGTCCTATCATTTAGTAGATGGTTATTCCAGTAAAACACAGTATTAGACTCAAAACAGACGTGATCATATGTATCTGAATGCTCATTGTTTCAAAGTTTGTGAGTCGTCTTGTCTGACTGTGACGATGTTGTATTTAATAGGCTGTTTCTCGTTTTTACTCTTTCAGTTTTTATTCGTTTCCTTATCGACCGACCTGTTTTAATTTTTCTTGTGTATTTTGAATAGTGCGTGAGTGAAACTGAAGCACATGTTCGTTGTGTGTTTCCATGGCTGAGGTCAAAATTGTTTAAATGAAATGTACCATTCTTTGACATCTGGTGCAAACTTACTTCAAGGTGAACTCAAAGTGCAGCAATACTAACGTTCTACAGAAAATGAGTCTTTCAGTGAACAAAGGAACAGCTCAAACCTTTTGAAGTGAGGTTCCGTGGAGAGGTTATGAGCAGTTAATATCTCACCTGTTGTAAACAAAACAACAAAATCTCCTATCACCAATCTGTCCTATCTGTCTATCACCAAATATGAGCGCAGTATGTGTAAAACTGACAGAATTAAATATATTTTTTGAATTTTTTAGGGTTAATAGTTCATAAATGTACAGCTTATAACTTTGAGCTTTATTAAATCTAATCACAGGTTCCTGAGATGTTTTGCTAACACAGACAAACATGATGACCCACCTTCCATGGTGTAGTAAAACCTGAATAATTCAAAAGTGACATTAAAGGTTTGTAAAATAGCGTTCGCATAAACCGCTGTGAAAATTTTTCAGATTGTAGTTTTAAAACAGCAGCTATACCAATTGCTCTTGGCTTCGCTCAGACTAGCCATTAGCTCATCAATCTAAATGAGCTGTTTTAAGACGACAGCAGACCCACTTTAATCTTGGTCCCGCTAACTAGCTGTTAGCTCCTTAAATGAGTCAGAATTAAATCCCATTTCGTCAAATTTAAATGTTTCAAAAAGCCATCTACAGCAGGTAAGATACTGACTGGTCATGACTTCTCCACCGAACCCTACTTTTCAAAAATCTGAGCTGCCGCTTTGACAGTTCCAGGTGAAGTGTTCCAAAATGAAAAAGTTCAAGTTCAAGTACAGAGTTTGGTTTTAAAACATTTTCACCAGCAGATGCACACAGTAATACTCTGTCCACACATCTGTTAGTAAATCTGAATCGTTTTGTACGTTTAGTGTGAACCGTTGCACACACACACACACACACACACACACAGGATGGTGTCGTGATGCTGACGGCTGTGTATTTATAGCGTAGCAGGAACTGCAGTTCATCTTTTCATTTTCACGTGGCTGTATCAAAGCTTCTGAAAGACTTTAACTTTCTCCACACATGTACTGTACTGTATGTAGTATGAAATGTATTATCATGTACTATAACAGAAGTAGTTATGAGTAATATGAGGCAATGCCATGGATAAACACTTATTAGGAACATGCTGTATTTGGGTGAAATATATGTTTGCAGGGAGTTCTGTCTCTACAAGTGACGAGAAATACATGTTTGTGTATTACTTTTGTATTATTTGTTCTTATCCTAATAGATATTAAATAGTTCTTGTTGCGTCCTGTTTTTGCTTCTTTTAGAAATAAGAGAATATTTCTTTTCGAGAAAACCAGATGTTAGAAACTTCTATTTAAACACTTCACAAAATGCACATTATAGCTGATTTGTATTAAACTATTCAAGTGAAATAATAAAACCAAGACATCCAGCAGATTATGTGGTTGTTTTATAGCAGCAGTTCTCAATATTGGAATAAGGTTGAAGTTTTCTTCTACAGAAACGAGATTCTGTTAAAAAGACGAGAGCAATATTATTTTAAAATTCTTTATTCATAAACTTGATGCAAGTTTACAAATTACTGTACATGGTCAAAGTTTCTTCAAATGGAAAACTGGAAAAACAGAAATCAAAGTGAGCCAAAATAATAATAATAATAATTGTGTGAATCTGTTGACAGAAAAATGAGCTGATAATTGAGTCAATTAACAATTTTTTTCCCCTCTAACACTCAAGTCCAGTTAGAGAACACATTTTTACATTTCCTGTCATCACTTTTGGCATTTCAGATGCTTTATTCAGGATGAAAAAAAAATACTTTGCGAACACCGGCCTGTCGTCAAGTTGGTTGCTTCCCCTCTCAAAAAAAACGCGACACATGTAGCAAACAGCAGAATATGAAACCAGAGCACAGATAAATAGTTTTATTCCTGATTTGAAAAAAAAAAATCAGCTCACGTGTTTCCCCGCAGATGCAAACTGTTTACACTAAAACTGGGAGTAAACAAAAACACTACGGTAGATACTGAGGTCATCAAGCGGCTGCAACCCCACATCTTATTTTGAAATCTCTTCTACTTCCATTATTTCAATTACAGAAAAACAAAAGGAGAGGTGCAACAAAGATCGTGTCTTGTTTTCAGACATCAGATGAGGGCGAATTAGTTGATGAGTTAATCCTAAAAACAACCTCTTCCTATGTGTTGTGGATTACCTGAGTTGTCGTTCAGACAAACTTTTGCAGACAGTGTTGACAAACTGCAAAAAGAGCCGTCGGAGTGATACAGTGTGTGTCCTGTGGTGTGGAGGGGAGGCAGCAGTACTCAGAGTACTGCAGTATATTGCATTACTGAGGTTAAGTGTGGTTCGATACTGAGAAACACTGAAAACACACAGAAGTGGAAATTCCCTACAGTTTAGCCTCAAATAGATTTAAATGGTGGGCAATAAAATTAATCTTTGTGTATATTTTACTTTTAAAAGGCTCCAGAAGTTGGAGGGAGGGGGTTAAAAGTAAAAACTGGTCCCGTCCTACATCCCAAACAGGGGGTTCTGATCCTTAAACCGGTTCTGTTTCGGTGCTCCTACAATGTCAACACTGTACTTGATGAACAAAAAGAACAGAAATTTAAAATTCCCAGCAACAAAAACAACATGTTGCACATCATCCCTGCAACATTTTAGCTTTATTTATTTTGTATCTGGGAACCTTCGTTTAAAATTTAGTTTCTCACCAATAACGCTCCAATATGCCTGATGAATACATTAAAGTCATGAATGGAGAGTCTGACTGCAGCGCTTTAATGAACGACAGAGCTGCAGAACATTAACAGAGTAATCCAGTTTTAGACTCATTAAAAAAACAACAACACAGGCACGCTTCATGTGAGAAAGATGACGTGTTCGCTGTAAAAACAGGCAGACTGATGAGGAACTCTGAGTTCTTACTACCTCGGATTATTTCCTATTTAAAGTCTTATCCAGCACTTCTGCTGAACCGACTAGCTGAAATCAAATAACAGGTGAGACGTGACGCCTGCAAAACATGCTGTTAATGTTGACGACAAACCAGCCATCAACCTCAAAATATAAAAACATTAGCACTTGCAGGAGGGTGATTAAAAGAAAAAGGCAAGGAAAGAGCCTTTTAGCTTCAACTGTTAAAAACACGCACACATTATATAATCAGCTGATGTTTCTAAATCCTGATCAAAACTGCAGCGTCTTCAGATTGTGGCCAAATGTTGGTTTTAATAAGAACTAAAAGATCTGGGGCAGCAGGACATTTTAATTTTCAGATGAACGTAAGAAATCGGCATCTTTTTATTGCCTAGAATGTTCAAATAAGAAAGAAAAAAAAAGAAGTCAAAACAATTCCTCTAAAACAATAAATGCATGTATGTACCTGTCAATGTTTAAAGAAAACAAAACAAAAATGATCACAGTCAATTAAAAACAGGTGCAATGAGGTGCCTTTTCAAGAGCTTCAGCTTTTAAAATTCCCGCGTAACGAGGAGGGGGAAACTGAGGGGGATCATTCTGTTTCCCCC